GAGTGAAATCCAGATTTTCCAGCCCTCGGGGCAGCTGCCAATCTCGACAAAAACTCTTTCAGATGAATTCCATGGAATTTTCATGAGGCAAGGGCATGTTCTAGTGCTGGTACCTGTCCAGACAGCCCCAACAGAGCCGAGATCCAGGCAGGCATCCCTCAACCCCTAGAGGACCTGAAGGATTGTCTGAAATAGAGCCGAGATCCAGGCAGACATCCCTCAACTCCTAGAGGACCTGAAGGATTGTCTGAAATCCAGAGTTTTTGAGGAAAACTGTTTCCTCCTGCACTGTTAGAAAGCACAGAGGCTCTACCTTGTGAGTGTGCAAAATAACCAGGAAAACATGGAGCAGGTGGAAAATGCAGCAGCGGCAGAGCACAGCAGCTCAAGCAGAGCTTTGGAAGCTCTCCCTGAGGGAACTGAAGCTGGAATTTTGCCCCTTGCATGCTCCAGCTGCACTGGATCCTCCCCTTGGCAGCTTCTCTCCCCAGTCCTGCCCACCCCTTTGCTCGGCTGTTTATGACCTTGTCCAGCAGCTTGTGCTTCCCAAACCCCAGTCCCGGCCACCCCTTCAGCTGCGCAGATCATCTGATCCGACATGGGTAAGAGATCCAACCTGTGGATCCAGTCAGGGTCTGCTGTGAGGCTTGTGAGGGGCCAGAGGGGTGGTTGGGCTGATCCAGAGGGATGTGAGGCTGGAGCTGAGCCTTTGCCTCTCTAAAAGGTTTGTTTCTGTATTAAAACCCTGTGGGTGTTAATTAGGACCTTTAACGCCATCACTAAATGCCTTTTCTGCTCTAATTAAGTGTCTCTTTTAGCGCCTCAGCATTTAGCAACTGAAATAAGCACTTGGCTGTGCTGCTGTGGTTGACTGGGAGCGGAAATGACACCGAAGAGGATTGGTGGGAAAGGGAGGACCAGAATTCACCTTTTTTGCTTATATTTTGCTTCTGGTTTTTTTGTGTCAGACCGATTAATTTCCATGGACTTTCATTTTGGCTCTGAGGACAGGAAATAGAGGGAGGGACTAACCTCCTCGGACACTTTTTGTGTGGGAATGAGTTGTGCAATTTGTCAGGGACAATGTTCTCTTGGGATTGCCCAAAACAGGGGAGAGATTGCAGGGTTTAGGTAACAATCAGACAGAACCAGCGATTCTGGCTTAGGAGAAGTGTGGATCTGCCTCCTGTGAATGTTAGGAGTGTGTGTGTCATAAATCTGTAAAAAATATACATGCTTATACAGGATCATTGTTTTGCTTTGCTTTCTATCTCTCAATTTAATTGCTTAGCCACCAGAGAGGGTCTTTGAGCATCTATGACATTGAAAATTCCCTCTTTTTGGCTCACTCTGGTGTCGACTGATGGAAACTGGGGCAGATGGAAAGGAGTCCCCTGCTAATTTTGTGTGGGTGATGGTGGTTTATGTATTTTCAGCTGCCTTAAAAATCGCAGAATATCCCCAAACCTTGTTGATTTGTGTGGAGTTTTCTGGCATGGGTCATTGTTGGTGGCTCACAAAGGACTGGATGCTTTCCTCTGGTTATCTGTCCCTCTTGTTCTCCCCAAAGAGGACCAGAACAGAGGGAAAGACGTGAAAAAATCCAGAGCAAAAGGAAGCTGAATTCCTCAATTCCCTGTGCTCTCCACAGAGAGAAATGCCATGAAAATCAGTAAAAAAGAAACTGGGTATTTTTTCCAGTTTTTGGTGTGTAGGTCCAGCCCAGATGCCTGGCATGGATGAGTGTGCTCTAAGTGGGGCAGCTGAACTCCCTGAAGCCCAAATTTCCAACCTTTTTTGAGGATGGAGTGTCGTGTTGTGGATATTTGCAGTAACCTCAGCAGTGCCTAGAGCCAGCAATTAAAAACTGCATTTAAAATGTGTCCATTCCTCAGTGTGAATCCAAAGTCATTCTAGCTCATTTGGAGACTAAATGATTTGCCTTTTGTTTTGTCCAATCAGCACAATGTGGAGCCTGTGGACCAGGATATGCAAGTCCTCTGGATGCCATGAAAGGCAAGTGCTGTGGTTTGTATTCCTGGTACTGCAAGGAAAGTAAATCCAGGCCATCTGCAATGAGATTGTTTCCAGGCTGGGTGAAGACTAGGTTGATGCTGTCCAAAGAGGCTCATTAATTTCCAAGGCCAAAAGGTATAAAATTATAAAATGTAGAGAATATATAAAATTATAGATAAACAATATAAAATATCTGAAATTTATTAACTATGTAAAATAAGCTTTATGAGCTACATAAAATGTATAAAATGTAAAGGGACTCCTCATAAAATGGAAAAAGAAATACTCAGGTTCAGGTTCCTGGGAAGATTCACAATATACAGACAGATATTAAATCCTCAAGATTCCTTCAAAGTTAACCACATCTTTTTGTAAAAATTGGGGTTTGATGCACTGAACAAGTTTTCTGCCTCCAAGGTCCCCGGGAGCAGATCCTGTACCTGCCTTGTATCTACAGGAACACTGGGATAGAGAAACCTGACTACTTGGCCACGGTGGATGTGGATCCCAAATCCCCACACTACTGCCAGGTACCCGTGCCTGGAATGCTCCATTTCAGTGTGTAGTATTTTAACAGTTCTGTTTGTAACCCTTTGGTTTATGCTCAGGTGAGTGTGAAACTCCAGAAAGTGATAGTTTCTCGGTTTATAACATAGGATATCAGCTCCCCTGAGAAATTCTACACATTAGGTTTATAATAAATAAATAGATCAAACTGTCACTCTAAATTCTAAATCAGATCCCTTTGTTGTAAAATCTAATCTATAAATCCAGGCCTTTTGCTTCACAGATGCAAAGCTGTTGGTAGCCACCAGTGCACCAGATCCAGAGTACTCTGAGGATACTAACCAACATCTTGATGTCAAGAACTTAAGCTGCTCAGTTTATTACTGAACTGCCTCCAGTTCCTGGGGATACTTTGGCCTCTCGTCTCCAGGTGTTTCTGGAGAAGGGAATCTAGTTTGGCAACAAAGATTTTCAGAATTTGCTTTTATTTTAATAGCTGTTGCTTAGGGTTTGGTGCTGAGGGACCAAATATAAGCTCTGACAAAGCTTAGCTGTATCCTTCCAGCTCTTCTAACGAGTGTTCTCAGGCTTTGGGGTCCACTGAATAGAAGCCAGCACTTCACAGACGTGCGCTGGCGATGTCCAGCTCCCTTCTCCCCCTTCCCAGCCTCAGCACTGCATTTCCCAGGCTGGATCTGCTTCCCAAGTTACAACCAGCACTTCCCTTCGGATCTTCATTTTATGCTTTGGCATAAAGACCCATTTCTGTGCCTAAGGAGAGAAACCTCCTCCAGGCTGAATTTTTGGTCTCTCCCTGATCTGCAGGTGATCCATCGCCTGCCCATGCCCAACCTGCAGGACGAACTCCACCATTCTGGCTGGAATGCCTGCAGCAGCTGCTTTGGTGATGCCACAAAGACACGGAATCTCCTGATTCTCCCAAGCCTCATCTCCTCCCGAATTTACGTGGTGGATGTGGGAACAGACCTGAGAGCTCCCAGACTCCACAAGGTCTGTTTACATGACCTTAAACTGTGGTTTATTCTTTATATTTTGAATGAGAGATGATGATTTTATGGATTCCACCTTCAAACTGGAATAGGAGAAGCAGAACAGTTCTGGAAACTTTTGCCCAGTGTTAGAAACTTGTGGGAGTTCTTAAACTCCTACAATTTGTTGATAACCACACACAAAAGTATTGCCCCAAAGAAATGCGAATGACTGGGGTGTTAAAAACTGAGAAATGAGGACCTCAACAGCCTTTAGCTCTCAGTGCAGTGGGATAAAGCCTCCAAAACTTTCTTGTACAGTGAATTTGGTTTCAAGCTGAGTCTCTGGCAAGCCTCAAAGGTGGTTTTTGCCCTCTGAACTCCTGCTGGCATGAGGGCTCATGCTACACAGTTGGCTGTACTGCTTAGCCTAATGGTGCAGGAATTAAACTGATTCCAACCATTCACCCCTTGCTGTTCCTAGTTTTGAGGAGAACAATAAATGTCATGGATGGGATTGGAATATTGGGAGGAGGACAAAGCAAGAGGTGACAGGTACTGAAGAAACAAAATGGCAGAAGAAACAATAGCCCTCACACCTTTCACACTCTGTCCTTGCTTGGAGACTTGAGCTCTTTGGGGTGGAACTGGAATTCTGTGGAGGAGATTTCCTATATCAGGGAAGATTATTGTCTATGTATCCTCATTTTAGGTTGTGGAGCCAGTGGAGTTGTTTAGGAAAGCGAACGTGGCTAATCCTCACACCTCTCACTGCCTGGGCACTGGGGACATCTTAATCAGCTGTTTGGGAGACCCTTCTGGCAATGGGAAAGGTATTCATCCCATTCAGTACTCCAGAAAAGTATTCCTGGTACTTCCCAAACTACAGGCTGCAAAATTGGAAGAAATTTTATAATCTTAGAGCTTTATTGAGCACAGAACCATTAAATGTTGTCACCCACTGAGGTGTAAACCACCTGGTAGCTGAGAGAAACTAGAGGACGTACTTCAGATGGGAGGTGGGGAGCCCTGCTCCATTTCCCAGGGGTTTTCTCTTCTGGATCATGGGCAAATACAGCCCAGGATGGATGGATATTATGTGCAGAATTCGAGGATAGTGGTGGCAACCCAAGAAAACCAGAGGTGACTCAGGATCTTCTCTAAGACACCCCATAATTGAAATATACTCTGTATTTCTAACAGATGTCTAGGGCTGACAGATTTATTGGAATGGTTTGAGCAGAAACAGAGTGAACTAGAACTTAAAAAAAAATCATTGTAATGTGTAGAAGCCTTTAGAAATCCAGGCTTTGCTTGCTTTAGTCCACAAAAGCAACACAATCCTAACATTTTCCGTAAGCGTACGCTTGTGTTTTCCAACCTGTTTAGAAAACAGATGTTTAAGTATTAATGTGTCATTTATCTTACTTAAAGCTGTATGAATGTCTTCAAACAATTGTTTTGGTTCTTATGTCAGGTAGCTTCATCTTGCTGGATGGAAAGACCTTTGAAGTGAAGGGAAATTGGGAGAAAGGGGAGAAGGTTCCTTCCCTGGGGTATGACTTCTGGTACCAGCCACGGCACAATGTTCTGCTGAGCACTGAGTGGGGAGTCCCAAAAGTCTTGGCCAATGGGTTCAACCCAGCTGATGTCGAGAGAGGTGAGTGGAAACTCTTGGAAGTAAAATTCTCTATTAAAATTCCTTTTTGAAATTATATTTGCTGGGCTCATTTCCATCCGGTTTGATCTCTTAGGGCATTACGGTCGCCACATCAACGTGTGGGACTGGAGCACTCACACCTTGATCCAGGCAGTTGACTTAGGGAACGGCTCCATTCCCCTGGAGATCAGATTCCTCCACAATCCAGATGCTGCCGAGGGGTTTGTGGGTTGTGCCCTGAGTGGGGCTGTGCATCGGTTCTACAAGACTCGGGTCAGTCATGGCAGCTGTGGCCAACACAGAGCCCCAAACTGAGCTGCAGATCAGTTTCATCCCAGTTAATTGTCAAAATCCTCAAAGAGGGGAAGGCCTTATCAGTGATAAACCATGGAATGGTTCGGGTGGGAAGAACCTTAAAGATCCTCTCATTACAGCCACTGCCATGGGCAGGGACACCTTCCACTGGCCCAGGCTGCTCCAAACCCTGTCCAGCCTGCCCTGGGACACTTCCACTGGCCCAGGCTGCTCCAAACCCTGTCCAGCCTGCCCTGGAACACTTCCAGGGATGGTGCAGCCACAGCTTCTGTGGACAACCTATGCCAGTGCCTCAGCACCCTCACAGGGGAGGATTTGTCCCCAATATCCAATCTAAACCCAATCTCCTTCAGCATCAGGCCTTTCTCTCTTCTCCTGCCACTACATGCCCTCATGGAAAGTCCCTCTCCAGGGACTAAGAGTATTGCAACTTGAGGAACTTGTCACTAGGGTCACTGCATGCTGCCTTGGAATTTTGAGGTGTAGG